ACTCGGCTTGAATTGTTTGTATGGATAAACTGCCGAAAATAGAACTAAGGCGATGCTTAAATGCTTCACAAGAAGGAATAGTTGCTGCTGACACACTTGAATCACACACATACAAACACACTCATAGATGGCCGAACATACTGTCAGGCGAGCAATCTTGAGAGAAAGCATTGTTTTCGCATGCCTTCTTGGTTAATTAAAAATGTCTTAAGACCATTGGGGACGAAGGTCTCATCATGCGCACTCGTACGTTCTTTCGGTCGCTTGCTTGGCACTTTTAGCTTGAAAGGCCAAGAAGGACCTACTCTTGTGTATTTTTGCAATTGGAATTGGTTAGAGGACAAGTGTGGCACACATAAACATGTACCGCTCGTATGCTTAAGCACGTGTGAATGAACAGCGAGTTGAAAGCCAACTGTCCAGCGTTCTTTATTAAATGGCTAGGAGAGTGGAGGCGAACACCACCCATTCAATTATTACTCTGTCAACAATGCATTGAATGTAAGCCTGTCCTTTCTGGGAATAAGGTCAAAAGTGTTGGATGCTGCTAAATGAATTTAATTGGCTTGTGTGTTGAAAGAAAAACATGTGTTTTTCTATTGAATGTCGAGCTGAAAGAGAGAGCTAATAACATTTAATTTGTTATCGGTACGTAGTCTGGTAAATTGATATTTGGATGAAGACATTGTTAGTTTTAATTGCTGATTTGCAGGCGTACTAGAAGAAAGATTACTTCATAAAGTGTTGTTATAATTAATGTTATAATTTAATATTTTGATAACTTGAAAGTGATAAACAAATGGTGGTGAAAATGTGGTTTGATGACTAATTTTACATTACAAACTAAAAAAAGGAAAAAACCGTCTTCCAAAAAGCTATAATACTATTCACAGGTGCATTTCATTAAGTAACTATGTACCGTATATGGACGTGTTCAGAAAATATCAGGTATTTAAAAATTCTAAATTTCGCGGGTTTGGAGAGTCCAATTTTCCAAAAAAAAATTTATGTTAATATGCTTGTACAGACATGCTCCTAAAGTACGATGATATTTTACGCTGCATTCAGTGCTAACTCCATCTGTTGCAACCCCTAAGGTTAGACGTGTTTTATGAGCTTGGCGCCAAGATAGTGAAAATCGTTGAAAGATCGAAAGGCTATCATAAAAATTGAGTTTGTGAAGTATTTCGACGATTGGAAGAAGCGAAGGCATAAATGCATAATATCGAAAGGAGACTACTTTGAAGGCAACAACATTAATGTAGATGAAAAAATAAATGATTTGATCAGAAAACGAAAAATTCCGTTATGTTTTGAACACACTCGTATGACTAAATCTGAAAACGTATCTTTTATGAAGATTTTTATCTATAATCGGAGATCACAACGTGCTTTGGATAATAATCTATACTAAAGTTCATGAAAATTATTCTCTTGTCAAATATAAATGTTTTTCATACAAGAATTACATTTGGATCGTTCAGTTTGTATGGCGGCTATATCCTACAAGTATAGTGAGCCGCTCTCGGCGATTCCTACAAATGAGCAGACTCTTGTGGAGAAAAGGAAGTCCGAAAACCTGACAGACGAGTTCAGGCATATACAGACACTGATTTTATACATATGTATATGCTCGTACTTGCTCTTACATCTCGGTATTACAAACTTGACCAACTTATGTTATAAATATACAGTTGTCCACAAAAAAATAGTAGTGATTTCATTAACAATACGAATCGAAATCAATTTTTAATAAAAAAAACATGGTTTAAGTCACAAAATTTTTGCACAAGACATTCACTTATGACATATTAATATGTACATAGTCCATATGTTTCAATTGAACATAAAGAAAATTTGATATCACAGTTTATGTTAAATAAACTAAAAATAGGAGTATTCTATAAAGTACGAATAATTCTTAAAGTTTTAAATTAAAATGATTTCAAAACTTTACTGAATGTTAAAATAATTATTATTTCTTTGAATAGCTTTGGTATTTTTAATAGAGAGTGACTTTTCCTGCTAATAACAACAGTTTGAGAAGCACTACAAAATACAAAAAAGAGCGCTTAAAGCTATGCAACGTGTAACTAGTAGCATCAACTATCGATGCTGTCATTTGAATAACAAAATTACTCAAACACATCCCTAAATATAGTGAAAGCACCACATGTGGCTAAATAAAAAAATGGTTTAAAAACTAAAATATGGCACGAGGCACACCTCGCTTTTCTCACAATAATTCAAGTATTTTAGGGCCAATATTACTGCCAGTATATATAATTTTTCTCTTTTTAGTTTGATGGGCTTAAAAATTGTTTTTGTTATACTCTCGCAACCTGTTGCTACAGAGTATAATAGTTTTGTTCACCTAACGGTTGTTTGTATCACCTAAAACTAATCGAGTTAGATATAGGGTTATATATATATAAATGATCAGGATGAAGAGACGAGTTGAAATCCGGGTGACGGTCCGTCCGTCCGTGCAAGCTCTAACTTGAGTAAAAATTGAGATATCTTTATGAAACTTGGTAGACATGTTTCTTGGTACCGTGAGACGGTTGGTATTGCAGATGGGCGTAATCGGACCACTGCCACGCCCACAAAACGCCATTAATCAAAAACAAATAACTTGCCATAACTAAGCTCCGCAATAAGATACAAGACTGTTATTTGGTACACAGGATCACATTAGGGAGGGGCATCTGCAGTTAAAACTTTTTTTTTAAAAGTGGGCGTGGTCCCGCCTCTAATAGGTTTAATGTGCATATCTCCTAAACCGCTAATGCTATAATAACAAAATTCACTAGAAGCAAATGTTTTTAGAACCTCTACTTACAGTGTGAAAAAAGTTGAAATCGGGTTTCAACTTCGCCCAATCCCCATATAACGGTACTGTTAAAAAATACTAAAAGCGCGATAAATCAAGCACTAAACACGCCAGAGACATTAAATTTTATCTCTGAGATGGTATAAATTCGCTTTATATGAACCGTGTTCAAAATTAATCAGTGGGCGTGGCACAGCCCACTTTTAGGTGAAAACCCATATCTTGGGATCTGCTTAACCGATTTCAACCAAATTCTGTGCGTAACGTTCTTTTCATATTTCTAAGTTATAGGGCGAAAATGGGCGAAATCGGACTACAAGCACGCTTATTTCCCATATAACACCATTTTCAATTCCATCTGATTCTTTCACTTCCCACTATGCATATCAAACAACACTGATTATATCGGGGTAAAACTTTGCGTTAATAATACGTTTAAAGTATGCCAGCTTGTGACCAAAAATTGTCTAAATCGAACCACAACTGTTCAAGCCCCTAAGTACTAAATATATATAATATGGACCCCAGTGCCTATAGTTGACCTTCTACCGAAAATATCAGTCAATCCACAAAGAAATCTCAAACGAGTATACCATTTGACTTTGCGAGAGTATAAAATGTTCGGTTACATCCGAACTTAGCCCTTCCTTACTTGTTTTTGTTTAGTTTTAATATGAACTTTGAACGAGTAAAGAAGAGTAGAGATATTTTTTTGAAATTTGAAGCCTATACCAGATTGTCCCAAACCGGTAATAGTTCGAATTGATTAATTTCCGAAATACAGATAGACTATAGAAAACTAAACCCAATAAAAAACGTTAACTTAGGTTGCACCGAAGCTATAATACCACTATCCACAAAGACAAAAGTTCCTTACAATAACTTGATTCCGATCGTTCAATTTGTATGGCAGCTATGTGTATTCTATAGTGATCTGATATGAACAATTATTTCGGAGATTGCATTGTTGCCTTAGACAATAAACCATGCTATATTTCGTAAAGATATCTTCTTAAATCAAAAAGTTTCCCATACAAGTACTTTACTCCGATTGTTAAGTTTGTATGGCAGCTATATGCTGTAGTGGTCCGATATCGGCCCTTCTGACAACTGAGCAGTTTCTTAGTGAAGAAAGTACAGATAAAAAAGTTTCAGATCGATAGCTTAAAAACTGAGGTACTAGTTTGTATATATACAGAAAGACAGACATGGCTAAGTCAACGCAGCTCATCATGCTGATCATTTATATATATATTTTATAAGGTCTCCGACGTTTCCTTCTGGGTGTTACAAAATTCGTGGCAAACTTAATATACCTTGTTCAGGGTATAATGAGTATTACCAGTAACATTTACCACAATAGAAGTTATATAAAATCAAAGATAGATTTATGTTTTAAATGAACACATATGTAAATCTGACAAAATGGATCAATCCATAAAATTACTAAATCTAGAAACGAAGATGTAAGTGCGAATAATACAATAATAAATAATTATGTTTCATAATTTCTAGTTCCAATATATTTATTTTATTCCGCAGGCTTTTATATCAAAAAAATTTATAAAACAAAAACAACATGAATCGTTATACAGGTTAAGTGAAATAAAATATATATACATATAACTATACACCACATACTTATGCTTACGTGCATATATTGTACGAATATTTAACTAATATAATATAATACTTTGAGCGCTCAAGCGGAATTAATGAGAATATTTTATGTAATTATTTTTTCTTTTTTTTTATACGGAAAAATAGATTTTTGAGCTGCAAAATCCTTAAGCTAGTGCGCAAAATGGCAAATAATTTAATTGGTTTGCATAGATAAATAGCTTATTAGGTTATTAGGTGTGTTTTTCATACACATACATAAGTGTATATATTTGTATGTACGCAAATGCTAAGCGGAGAGTTCAAACGAGAAATATTTCTTCAATGTAATTTAACATATTGACTTTGTCATATTAAACATAAGTTGGTTGTTCAATTATGTATTTTATTAGCAAATATTTAGTAGATATAAATATATATGACTATAGGTGTAAGTGCAATGTAATGTAATTGTTTGCATGAAATCGTTATTTGCTATTGATATTCTATCCTTGTGGCTGTAGTTGTCGCTAGCAAATAAGCAAATATATACATGCTAATCTTTTTCTATAAGTACGTAATTATAGTTATCTGCGTACTTTCAATTACCTTCGTTGATTAAAGCCAAAATAATACATATATATGTACATATCTTTTGTTCTCAAATACAAATTAATGCATATGAACATATATAAGTAGTAAATATATATAGTAAATATATTTACTGTGACTTATAGGCCCGTTGTCCCCAGGGTTGCAAATTTTTTGATAAAAAATAAACATAATCAACCTATTGTATAAATTTAATTTTTAGTTCGAAAATCATTATGTTTTGCATTATTTTCAAACGTGATTTTGACCGTGACATGACCTTTTTCTCAACAAATAAAATATTGATATGCCGTTATAAAACTGCACCATTTCATCGTCGCACTCTAGAGTTTTTTGTATGGAAGAGCTGGACCCGATATTATCACGGCAAAACGATATCTTCTGTCAAGCTGTCTTGGTCGGATGACTCTTCAAGAGTGTTTCTAAAATAAATGTATGTCAATAGATATATTAATACGAACCTCAAGTTTTAGTAAAGGTTGCTTAAAGGACAGAATAGAATATAGTATAAAATTATTTTGCAATGTTTGCAAAGTTTAAAAATTAAAAAATGTTTTCTATTGAAATGTAACGGATAATCTTCAGAGTGTGTAACGAAAGAAATGTTTGACATTTTGTTTGAAATTTGCACTTACTGTAAAGGTTTGCACTCTTTAAATTTACACCCACATAATTTTTTTGAATATTGTGCTCCTGAAATGGCACATAAATAAGTTTCACAATTTTGATCCTCCCAAGCCAAAACAGTAATTGCAAGGCATTCGCACTTAACACACATCAACACATGCGCCTCTATACCACATTGAGTCAAATCAGATTTCTATTTCATGCGCTTTTCACTCACAAATCAGGCCTAGCAACTGAGCAAATGAGTTGTTGGCAAGGGAAAGCGCCAGCTCAGATTGCCGTTTTCATTTTTACGCTGATTGTTGTATGTCCTTGGCTGGCTATTACAAATTTTAAGACTTTTAGTCGTAATTGCTCCACTGAGACGAATACGAAGAGAACTCTTTTATACATGTAAGTACTAACATACTAATATACAAACATACAAACAGGCAGACTCGAAGGTGTGATAACAGTAAGGGAAAATTGGAAAAATCCACCCTATACAGCTGCAAGCGACCAAAGTGTCAATACACTCTCATTCCAGTGTGTCGTTATTTTCACTTCTTTTTATCAACGAAGGATTTGATTAGCCCGTCTGCTTTTGCCAGTAGTCTTGATTTTCTCAGAATTTAAAAAATTCCTTCAGAAACTACATTTGCACGGTTTCGCTTCAATTGTTTCGAAAATTGTGCACAAATTCGATGTTGTCGTCATCAAAAAAATACTTTTGAGACTATTGAGCAATTCACTGTAATTACCGAGACCCCTAACACAACATCCTCAACACTTACTTGAGACAATTATATTAAAGTGAAGAACACTTACCAGCAATTCGTGGAATTTATTTTGTCTGATTAAAATTACTTTTACGCGAGAGCTGTTGTTCTGAGTTTTATAAACAAAATTCATTCGACTGAAAAAGAGCAAAACGTTCTTGAAGTATCCCAATTAATAATAAATATTAATTTGGCGAAAAGACAAAAGAAAGAATTAAAATTTTGTATAGAGTACATTCTATTGGATTTTCTTTGACAGCTGTTGTCATAAACTATTCCCATCGATAATTCGGATACCAATATTTGAATTTTTAAGCATCATTCGAAATTCGAAAAAGTTTTGACCAATCTAGATTTAATGGACCTTTTTAAAATATTTTTAGACATCGCTGCTTGTAAAAATCAAATCGTTATGACTAAAAGAAACCGGAAATTTCACTTCGAATAAAATCTGCTCTTTTACATTTATATTAAGACTTGGAAAATAGGAGATCATTTTCGTAGTCTTTTTCACTCCGTGACAAATCATTCAACCCAAATACAAAATCATCCATAAATACTTTGCTTATAATAAATACATTTTTTTACCTTCACCATAATTTTATTAGCTTTTATAGAAAGAAAAAAAAACAAATGAAGCAAAATTTAAATATGAAAAAATACTCTCTAAAAGGAAAATACACTTTTTTTGTGAGTTTTCTTTTTTGAAGAATTTTGCCACCAAAGAACTTGACTTATTAGCGCAGGGTTGCAACGCAAGTGCTGAGAGTTTGTTCGAAAAACTGATATAGCTTTTTTATTTGTTCAATTCACTACTCTCCAATAATGGATGAATCGAAGACAGCTAATATCAAAGTTGCTTACCTAATACTGTGTAAAAAAGCATTTTCGGTTTTCACTACTAAAACCAATTCTTTCTGAATATAAATTGAGATTTTTTTTATAATTTTGTTTATGAAAAAATAATAACAAATATAAAAAAAAATTGTTTTTGTATATTCAATAATCAACAGAGAGTTATTATTTTTGAGTATATAATTTTATATAATACTAGGAGATCACTCCATTTGCCATACTACTGAGGAAAGAGGACCTCATATAGATGATGAGGTGTGAATATCAAACTTTTAATAATATTTATATTCAATTCGACCGCTTTGGAGGGAGACAACTGGGTGAGTGAGTTGCACTTTATTTCATGACATTGCTCCCCCTCCCGTGGCCCAAGGACGCTCACAGCTTAGCCGAGCGGGTCGCCGCTCACCAGGCGACTTTTTTCTAATACTTAGATTTTTAAATTCGGGATATCTTTCGAATAGAATGTCCGAATCAAATAATTCAAAAAGTTGTTGAATCAGTCTTGAATATAAAGTAATTAATTTTGATAAGGGTTAATAAATACCAAGATGCAGATATAGAGCTTTTGCAGAGATGGCATTTTAATAATTATTATTTGTTAAAGAAGACTTATTGGTACAAACGTTTGTCTGCTAAGGGATACACAGATATCATATGAGTGAAATCTGAGTTTTGACTGATTCAATAAAATAATACTTAGCTAAAACCATTTTATTATTAAACTTGGATACGCTATGCATTTATTTAAATACTGCTTAAGAAACATTATGCTTCTGCTGAGACTTTAATACTTTTCTCTAATATTTTTAATTTTATTTTATTTGCAGGCAACTTTTATCACCAAATATACAACAAAAACATTACCATGTGAGTGGTTATCAGGTGGATGGTAATCGGCATGTAAGTACCTCACTCAATAATTATGTATATCTGTACATGTATATCAAAATTTTACTTCAGAAAGTAGGAGCGCCTTTATGAACCTAAAATAGAATTCACACAAGCGTGTGGCATAAATACATGGATGAATAGGTATATACGCCCCATGATATAAATATGAGTGGAAGTTTTTGACGAATTTTATTTTTATCTGTATACACAAATATAAACTCAAGAAAAAGCGAATCTTTACCCAGCAATTGGTGAATAACACGTTGTGCGGTGGAGAAAAACTATATAACCGTGAATATTTACGTAAAAATGCGAAATTTGCTTACCTGATTGTTCTTGTGCACACATATATACATAGTTTCGTTTTTCATACGGTAACGCTATCTTATTTGAAGCCTGAACTTTTGACACGCGATACATACTCAGAACTTTGAGAGTTAAGTGTAGATATACCTACGTCTTCATTCAGCTACAATCTTTAGAATTATTTTTCGATGAAACATATTTCTATTTAGTACTTTATCTTACACGCCCCCTGCCAGCTTATTTCATTTTGAGTCTGAGCTCGTCTTGCATGCTTGTTATGATTATTTTTCTTACACTTGACTTTTGATTGAATTTCACAGCGGAGGTAGCAAATTGCGAAACTTGAATTTCAATTACTTTCTGAACGTAAACACAAGCATTACATACAATACATACATTACATACATACATACATTACACACGAAACTTTATCGAAATAACATTGTCTTCATTTTTGGGGCTTAGACAAGTTTAAGGAGAAATTTTGAAAACTCGCTTTGATTGTTTTGAAAGCTCCCAAATTCCTTATGTTTTTTTGCAAATCACTGACGTTAACTAGGAGTAAAACTTCAATAAGAAGTCAAAAATTAAATCAACTAGATATGTAATTTTGGAAGCTTATGAACCGGCTCTTGCTTCTATTGAATACATTTCTAAGGAAGTTTTACAAATAGTTTTATATAACTAAGCTACTAATTGATGGTAATTAATGGTACGTACCTTCAACATATTTTGAAACGACTGCGATTTTCCACTCCCTGAACTAATTAGGAGAGTTTAAACTTTTTTTTTAAATATATCACGATCTCCAACATTCGAATGTGTCTTACATTGTACATAGTTATCATAGGTGTTTTTAATCTGAGGATGAAGTCAGTAAAAGTTTGGTTTTAACAAAGTTGAAGACTAAGGGTATATGACAATGACCATTTTATTTTACTTACAAGTATTAGATTAAAGTTAAGTCCAACACTGTGTTCAATTAAAACCGATTTTTAAGGTGTTGGAATTATGAATTAAATTATTATGAACGGAGCATATGACAAAACATAATAAGTAGATATGCTTTTTAACCACACTAGCACGTTTCCTACAATAAATACTCTATTCGAACTAAATAGTGTTGGTGCTGAGCTTAATTGACACTAGAAACTATCTGCTTATTTTATTGATATGTCTACATATTCATATATGTATACTATTTGTAAATATATATGTATGTATATAAAGGAATCATATATTATAAATGTGTGTACATATATAATAAGCATATAGGTAGGTTCATTTTATCGCTCTCAAACTCTGATAAAAGTTATAAAGGCGCATACATCGACTAACCTACTATTAAGTACCATCCAATATCAGCAGGTCACGTCCTACGTGGAGCATATGTCTGAAGAGAAATTTAATAATAAATATCAAATTTCGCACGTGTCATATTTTTATTTATTGCCGCGTGAACACTTGCCGTAAATACCAAACAATTACTGTATTTATTAATACACTTGTGCATGTAAACGATTTGAATTGCTAAGTGCTCCGGTGAGAAGACGGAATGTTTAAGTATCCACTTCTATTTGCAGCAAAGCTATTTTACAATTTTTTACAATTGATTGGAAATATATTTCATTTACACAGATTTCTTAATAGAAAGATGTTAGCTGAGTAGTGTTTTTAAGATTCAACTAAAAGTAAAATCTAAAGCGGGCTTCCAATGACTGAGATTTGACAAACAGTTGACAAATGGGTGTCAAAAAAATCAGAGAAAAATTTATTGTTTGTACTTTTTAAAGGTTCACCAATATATTATAAGCATCGAAGAAAACGCTATGAAAATCGAATACCTCTTAGATACAACGATTTAATAATGCAATTTTACACTTCTGCTCACGTCATAAAAGCTCTCTTCGATGTTTTAAGTACGATTGGGCTGCGATCTTTTATCAAAAAGTTATAAGAGGAAGCAACAGTAAAGTGATTCGATTGAATTCAATGAAATTTAATAGTTGGATAGTTCACTAAAGTAGAAAAACGTGCTTTTATTTTATTTGTATTTGATTATAGCATTCCTTTTATGACAGTTGTTTGTTCGATTTGCCATTCCCCAAGGTCTGTTTAACCAAAAAAAGAAGACATGTATATTCTAAGTGTCAAGTGAGTGTATTTACTCTCAGTACTCCTCATTTAGATGGATATTCCTCATTTCGGGTCATACGAGTAATTTAGGGTTTAATACAGTCCCTAATGCTTAGGTAGTGGAAATCGAGAATATATTTGACTACTACTAACGCCTACCTCGATATAACAAAACTGCAGATTGGACAATAATATACTTAGCAGAAGAGTGATTTGACAATGTGAATTAGATGATGAACGGCTATTACATTTATAGTAGGTTATTTCTGGGCTCAGTGTCATAGCGTGCTCACTAGCTAATTGATAGTCTCATATCAATCCTTTTTCGAAAAATTTTTCTTTGAAAACGAATTATGAGATCAATTTATTTATTCATCAATGGCAGAGAAGCTTCAGTTTTGGATTGGCCATAGTCGCTCTCGTTCCAAATGATATATCGCCTACCAAGGCGTGGATGATTGTCAATAGATGAAATTTTAAGTCTTAATTGAGAACAGACCATTTTGTTCATAAATATCTTTTTAGAAGCAATATCCTTATTCCAATAGCATCTGATCTATATAATAAAGTTCAGATGGAGGTTTGCCGAAGTTTTTCTGATACACTTAGGAAATTGCTATTTTAAGGACCCTCGAAATATTGTCTATTTTATTAATGTTCTCTGAAGTGAAGTGTACCATATTTTTATTCATTTAGTTCTCTTAAATTTTAATAAAATAAAATAATATCGGTGATCATTTCTGATTCACGGTGAATGTTATCAGTTTACGCTTATAGTTTTGCCAAAGTGATTTTATAAATAGGAGTTGAATTTCTCCTTCAGACTGGAAGTGATTTATACTCTTTGCTGATATGTTTCATTTGTAGAAAACTCAAAAATATTATTCAAATCATTTTGGTGATTTTTTGTTGGAAGTGCCTGTGGCATCTTCTCTAGTAATTTGCAATAAGTATCTTATTCCCAAACTAGTAGAAAATCACCAAATTTGCTCAGATTATTCTAACAGAAAGTATACCACAATAAATTTTTATATATTATAAATATATGTATACTCAAGCAGAACGATTAGGCTGAGAAGACCTCAGTGGAAGAATATACATCAGGTTAACCTTTCAAATATGAAAAATAGCATATATTTATGCCAAATCATTATCTTTCTTGCTATATTTATGCATACGTTTGCTTGATAATCTCTTTTGTTTAAATTCATTTAATATAACTTTATGTGATTTGCTACTTTCTAATGCAATAATAAAGGATTACTTTGCATACGACTAGCTTATAAAATACATACAATATATATATGTATACCCTAAATACAGAGTTATGCCCTAACTACTTAGCTAAACCCACAAACATAATAATTTAAATGATATTACTATTTTTAAGCTTTAAAAATGCCAAGTAAGAAACCCTTTCTTGATTGACGGTCAATTATGCATGCACATATGTACATGCACACATACTTATCCAAATATATTTGGACACGTACATATAAAATAAAATTTTCAACTCTAAATAACAAATACGACTGACATGCGATTTACTACTGCCCTATTTCACACACACACTCACACGCACAGTGGCTTAACGAATAATAAGAAAATCCAGTAATTTGATGAATAGCTGATGACCTTTAGATGCTTATACGCAGCGCTGGCCAGGCAGACATGTGTAAGCAAATGTAAAATGCAAAATAACTCGCAGCAAAAAACGCTGGGCGATGGCAGAGGCAAGAGTTGAAAAGAAATGGTGGTACAAAGTAGCACACAAAAAGCAAACACACATGCAAGATGGACAAACTACAAAGATCCAAAATCTACAAACTAACTCAAATCTACAAAATATACCCAAATTACTCGGGCAGCTGGAGATTCACATCCATACATATCTGTTCATATAGATGTGTGAGTATGTAGTTGTATGTGGTTTGTTGGGTTTGTATGTAAAACACGCTTACACCGACGCATATTAAAGTAAGCGCTTTTAAAACGGTTAAAGCTTCTGCCAGAGAGTACATTTACTGCAGATTGTGTATACGCCATGTCGAACATGTAGGTGAAGTTGGTGGGCATTAAAAGAAAGGAAATGGAGTGTAAGTTGGTGAAAATAGCCAAGTTTGTGCGATTTTTATAGCTGTTCAGCATTCGTCACTTCATTAGAAAAATTATGTGAATGTATGTGTTATTGTTGTATTTTATTTTTATACACTGAACAGGGTATATCAAGTTGGCAAACCACATAAGGTGTTTAAATAAAAGATCATCGTGACGAGTTACGTCCTTTTAGCCATGTCCGTCTGTCTACCTGTCTGCATATACGCCAACTAGCCTTCCAGTTTTTGAGATACCGGTCTGAAATTTTGCACACACCCTCTTCTGACCAAGAAACTTGCTGTTGTTGGAATCGTCGATACCGCATCACTATAACATATAGCTGCCATACAAACTGCCAGATTAAAATTAATTTCTTGTATGGAAATCCTTTTTATTTGAACAAGACTATGTTGCAAGGCAGCTCTAAATCTTTTAATATATTGTTCGAACAACTACAACATATACATAAG